CTGGCTACTACCCGGAGGAGGGCCTTCTCTGTGGCTGCTCCGGCCCTCTGGAACGAACTCCCCGCGGCGATTCGGACCCTCACCACCCTCCAGGCTTTCCGTAAAGCCGTGAAAACCTGGCTGTTCCGGCAGGCCTGGAGTTCCCTTCCCCCCCTCGAATTGTGTGACTGTTGATTGTTTTTAATTTTTCTCTGTATCTTGTTTGTTGTGTTACCTGTTTGTACCCCCCCCCTCCTGGGTTTGTCAGGGGAATAGGGCGGCATATAAATGCAATAAACCTTTAAACCTTCAACCTTCAACCAATTTCTTGCATATGCCAACTAGAAGATAAGTGTTTGACAAATGCTCAAATACAGGTAGTCCTCAACTTACAACAGCATTTAGTGACCAAAGTTACAACAGCATGGAAAAAAGTGACTTTTGACCATTTTTCACACTACTGGCCACTGCAGCATCCCCATGGTCAGGTGATTTACGTTTGAATGTTTGACACATTTATGATATTTGCAATGTCCTGGGGTCGTGATCCCCTTTTGCGACTTTCTGACAAGCAAAATCAATGGGTAAACCAATATACAATAACCATGTTACTAATTTAAGAACTCTGTAATTCACTTTAAAATGTGGTCGTAAAATGAGGCAAAACTCACTTAAAAGTCATAAAATGGGGCAAAAACTTAAATTTCTCAACAGCACAAATTTTGGGCTCAATTGTGGTTGTAAGTTGAGGACTACCTGTAATGTATAGATTATTTAATAATAAGCTAGTTATTACTTGTGAAATTATTCTCTTCAAAAATATTTGTTTTTGTTTCTTCAAATAGTTACAGAAATGAAGTGATAGCTATCTGAAGCTTTCCATTATGTCAGAATATTTTTGGCTGACATAATATTACATAAAATGGGACAGATCATTTGAACAAGCATACCAATCAGATTGTTTTGACCTTCCACTATTATTATCATCACTATACTCTTCCTTCGAAATATTTTCTTCTTTATCAATTATTTTGGTATTATGTGCACCACTACTATTATAGAATTTTGATTGTATTCTTTCCATAATCTGTAGATATCCCAGGGACCAATTGCCCTGAATTATAAAAAATAATGTGCAATTTGACAAAAATACTATACTACTTCTATCTTTTTATCTGATCTGCATTTTCCAATGTTACTATTGTATGTATCTAAGTAAATCAAATGTCAGATAATCAAGAGTTTCATTGATTTCTTAATTGTTACTACACAAACGATTAATTAATATATTTAATATAAAATTTAGAGGTTAAGTAATTACCCTTTGAATTAGTTCAACAGATTGGACTGCTTTATCACTTCAACGTATTTTGTAACATTGACAGAGTTCATGAAGCTTTCTCATACTAGAAAAACCTAATGTCTACAGCATTTCACATTCCTAAAATATACATCAAAAATTATATACATATCTCATATTTTTGCAATGAATTAAATATTTTCTGGAAAATTAATTTTTAATTGGTTTTTATAGGCTATATGTATAGGTTCAGAAAACATGCAAGTAATGTATCCTGCTATCTTTGATCAGTTGTTAGCTTTTGTTGAATTTTCCTGTAAACCACCACAATACGGACAGCTAGAAACAAAACACATTGCCAATGCAAAATTCAATCAGGTGAGATGTTTTAACTGTTTTACTTTTAAAAGATTACATATACTTTTGCATGAATTTATAATTATCAATGAACTGAGTTTAGCCAATGTTTAAGTTACCAACTAATTAAATGCATATGTAAAGTTTTTCAGTTTTCTTTTTTTCCTGTCACTTTCCTACTTGATATTGACACTCTACTATGAAAAGAAATTATAAAACCGAAATAAATGTCCTAGTCAGCAAAGATGGTTAAACTAACTTTGCATTTTACTTTGAATATTAAATCACATATTTTACTTTTAATACTTTATTTTATGAAATTCAATGTCACTGATCTGACTGCATTTGCACTAATAATAATACATAACCAGAAGAATGATATAGGTAAAATGTATAAAAATATATTAATTTTTCCTTATTCTGTTTATTATGCAACACAATGGAATCACTATAGATACAACTGTTTGCACCGGTGAGTTAAAATTCTTTAAAGATCATGCTTAACATTCTTCCTTCATATACTGCAATATTGCACGTGCTTAAAAGTGTCTGATTCAAAATGTAATTGCCATTCAAAATTCTAGATATATGTGTGGGACTGGAAATGTCTTTTTTTTAATTCATGGATCAGATTTCTTTTGATAATCTTCAAAAAATGTGCATGCAACCAAACTAGGCCCATTTATTTTCTTTTATACAATCTGTTGTTTGTTTGTTTTAGGCAGAATGGGTAGCACTTAATTATGTACCATTTGCAGAAAGATCTTTAGAAGTTGTGGTAGATCTGTACCAAAAGACTGCTTGTCACAAAGCTGTGGTAAATGAAAAAGTCCTTCAAAATATTATCAAGGTAAATATTTTATATAGATTTTAAGATTACCCTTTAAAATGAGCTGCATTGTTGTTTCCCAAATCTGAGGTTGGATTGTGAAACTTGCATGAAGGCCTAAGAGTGGCTTATTACTATTGTTTTTGCAGTTATTATTTCAAGAATGACACTCTCCAGTATCTTTATTCTTTGAAAATCATTTATTTCAGAGTGGATCACATTTAGTTATTTCTTTGTAACCCTTTTCTGATAACAAGTATTATTTGAGGGATATGAAGATATAGTAGTAAAAAACAATACATTATCTAGTTTTAAATTATTAATGTAATTATCTTTCATGGGGGATGAAATAAAATCTTCAGTCATGTAAGATTAAAGAGCATTGCAATTCAAAATTCATTCAAGTCTTTATTTAATCTGTGGTACCTACTATATATAAGCAAGAGAAGAGGCTGACCAAAGTGTTCAAACATCTTAAGTCTTTCTACTGTTTTGTAAAGTTCAGCTGAAGTAACATAAAAGCCTACCTACACATAATGTGCTTTTTAATGTTTATGAACATAATGAAAGAAAAGCCATAGGTGCTCTATTTTTTGGTATGTGACTGTTAGGTATTCACATACTCCCTTCAAATTTTGCACTTATTTCCCAGAGCTACACAGTGTAGAATGAGCAATTTTTCTACCATATTTAGAGATTACCTGAAAAATGGTATTTGTAATATCCACATGTGTGAATCAGTGAATATACTGAATGGCATGTCCATTCATTTGAGTTGGTTTCCTATCAATAATTTGCAGACCAACATGAAATGCCTTTGAAAAAATTCCCAGATTTCACTCATTCCTAAATGCTATATGTTGTGACTTCTTTTCCTCTATACCTACACTATGTATTTAAGTCCAGCTAAACTTATAGGTTATTTTTTCCTTGCTTGTAAGTGGGATTTAAATGTAAGTACAGGTAGTTCTTGACTTATGACCACAATTGAACCCAAAATTTCTGTTGCTAAGTGAAACATTTAAGTGAGTTTGCCCCATTTTACAACCTTTCTTGCCACAGTTGTTAAGTGAATCATTATAATTGCTAAATTAGTCAAACTTGTTAAGTGAATCTGGCCTTGCAATTGACTTCACTTGTCAGAAGGTCACAAAAGAGGAACACCTGACCCCAGGACACTGAAATTATCATAAATATGAGTCAATTGCCAAGCATCTGAATTTTGATCACATTACCATGGGGATGCTATAACGGTCATAAGTGTGGAAACTGGACATAAGTCACTTTTTCAGTCCTGTTTTAACTTTGAACAGTCACTAAACGAACTGTTGTAAATTGAGGACTACCTGTACTGCTGAGTTTCATATATATTTCATACACATATATCTTACTGAAACCAATGTAAATATTTTATTTTGACAGACACTAAGGATGCCTCTTAGTCTGAAATATGCTTGTCCTTCAGAAAGCACATGGAAACTTGCAGTCTCTTCACTCCTTAAAGTTCTCTCAATTGGGTTACCAGTTGCTAGACAGCATGCTTCCTCTGGAAAATTTGACAGTATGTGGCCAGAGTTAGCCACCACTTTTGAAAACTTTTTGTTTACTAAAAGGTGAAGTATAATTGTATAGTTGTGGGGCAATGTAGGGAGGATGGAGTTCAAGTGTTTTGAAATAGAATAATTTGGAAATTTTCCACATCGTGCCTTTCCTTTATATTAAATAATGACAGTGATATTTGGAGAAGTTGTTTTTGGCTTGTTTTTAGTCAGTTGTAGCTGGGGTTTTTTTCATCTTATTGTATTACATTAAAATCCCTAAGAAAGGAAACATAATTTCTGCCAATCTTTAACAAACTTCTTATTGCAGTACTGTAGCTAAAACCTGTCTGATTACCTGAGGGGCTTTCCCATCTCAATGCTGTCAGAAAGCTGTAAGTGTTACTAGAAGAGTTCCCTTATTTGCAAAATATAGACATACAGTCTTTCTCCGTAAAAAGAATTAAAAAGGGAGCATATTGCTCAGTAACCTATTATGGATCTGGAACACTAAATTGATCTAGGTAGATCTCCTCAACTGCAGTGGACCAGCACATAATGTACTTTCTAAAACTGGCCTCATATCTAACAGAATTAATTTACTCAAAGCATAAAAGAGCCTTTACCATGGCAAGATGTGGTGCCATCTTTCAAGGGAGATACAAAAAATAATCACCTATCCAAAATAATTGTGGCCATATGTGGATGAAGAAGTATAAACAAATGAGTATTTGTTACTTGCTCGACACAATAACCATGTAAAAGTAAATCTGATACACAAGTAGTAGACCAGGGCCACATCGAGGTTGTGGTTGGCCTCGGGGGGAATGGCTGGGGTGGATGTGGCTGGGTGGGTATGGCCAGCTCAACATCGCTCATGCCAGGTGTCTGCGGTGGCCTGGGTAGTCCTGGGGGGGTTCTATTGTCTCCAGCGGAGAAAAGCAAGACCAGGGTTAGTGCCAAACCCCTGTCCACCAGAGGAGCCTTACCGTCCCTCTCAGGCCATGTGAATGACTCCCAAATAGTGGTGCGGGCTGCCCAGAGCCCTAGACAATGGAGAGCCAGCACCCAGCCTGGCCCTCAAGCTTCCAGGACCCCACAGCACAGCACAGCTGCGCTTACCTCCTTGAGGCTGCTGTTGCTGTGCTCATTCTCCTTGGTTGCCAATGGTGTGTGCAGGAGGGCAAAGTGTGTGGGTCAGAAGGAGACCCATTCCCTCTCCTTGCAAGGAGACCCAGCTTTATTGCCAAAGCAACCTTAGCTATAGGATGCAAGACAATCAGGAGAAGAGGGGGCAAGGGGATGGCAAGAGGGCAGCAGGACTGCTGTGGCCAAGTGATAAGGCAGGACTTCCCTCAGACCCTCCCTCCGTCTCATAATTTCTCTTCTTCCTTCCTCCCTCCCTCTCATTCCCATCTTCCTTTCTCCTCCTTCTCTTCCCCATCCTCCTCCTTCCTCCTCCCCCATCCTTACTTCTCTTATCCCTACCCCTTTTCCCCTTCCTCCCTCCCCTTTCTTCCCTTCTTCTCATTCCCATCTCCTTCCTTCCTCTGTGCTCAGGAAGAGACTAGGGGAGAGGGAGATATTGGCAGCACCGTGCCACCTGTGACTGTGGTTTTCCCATGCAGAGTTAGTGGCAGTCCCAATGAAAGGGAAGCCTTGCAGACTGCGAGGCCAAGCTGGCGAGCAGGACATGGAGGTGCTGGTGTGGGCACAGCATTGATCTACAACTTGGTGGCAGCCATCTGGGCCAGAATGCTATCAGCCTTAAATTTGACTTGTGTGGCTACCCTGGAGCGAGTGAAGGGTCACCTTACCACCACCCCTTAGGCGTGTACACAGGAGGCGGCCCTCCTGTGTGTGCGCCCAGGGCAGAGGTGGCCCCTCTCTTGCTCCAGGGTGACCCTGTGGCTTTAAGGCTGACCACGTTCCAGCCTGGATAGCCCTCACCAGGTTGTAGATCTGCACCTGGTTGGTCTGGGCCAGGCTGTGGTTCAGTCCTTCTACGTTTCCAGGGCTGCTCCGTAGGCCTGATCTAACCACATCATGGGTCGGATCTGCGGACCTTGAGTTTGACACACCTGTCTAGGTTGTCCCATACTTTTCTATGCATCTTTTCTATTATGTGATAATACCACGGTATGCAATGTTTCCTTCACACAAAATCAGTTAAAAGAGCATCATAAAGCTTTGTGCAGTGAAGTTAATAATAATAAAATATATTTGGAAGGAGCTGTGGTCCTTCCTGTAATTTACATTGTAGTTCTATCTTGCTGCTGCAAATGGTTGATACCATAACAGGTCTGAAATATCTAGAATCCTGATATGGAAGCCCAGTTTCACTGTTTTGTTTTGTATTTTGCTTTGTGAAAGTAATATGTTTTAAAACATACTTCCTTCATGTTGTAAGTAGTGAAAGAGAAATTATATCAACTCCACCATTGAGTGGAGTTGTGTCTTAGTTCTCCATTAGTAAAAAAAGAAAATAATAAACTAATTGTAAACCTTTGATATATTCCGAGGTCTAATAAAAATCATCTTCCCATAAAAATAATTACTATGGTGATAATCTTTCTTTGGTATTTTTTCAAAATGGTTCTCCAACCCCTTAATTAAGGCTATTTTGTTTGCCTTTCAGTCTACCTCCAGATAATCTTTCTATTCAAGAGTTTCAAAGAAATGAAAATATTGATGTTGAAGTGAGTATATATTTCCTAGGATCTGAAAATATAAAGTTGATATTTACATAACAAAATATTTCATAATAATAATGGCTAAATTTTGTATAAAATGTAGATTTTGCTGTCAGGTGTGATACCTGTTTGCAGTAGATTTTTATATACATACTAAACTAAACAAAGTGGCCAGCATACTCCAATTTGCTGACATCGTTCATAATTTCTTTAATTTTGCAGTTTGTGCTTCAGTCTTGTTATGAGTGTTTACTCAATTACTATTTCAAAAACTTTCTCTTTCATTTGTTATAGGTGGTGCAGCTCATCAGTACAGAGATACTGCCGTACGCTAATTTTATTCCCAAGGAATTTGTTGGTCAGATTATGACTATGCTTAATAAAGGTTCAATACATTCTCAGTCCTCTTCATTTACAGGTTTGTTAATCAAAAGAATATAAAAAGATATATTCAGGCACTATAAAAATCCAGTGCAAAAGATTTACCGTATTTTCACGACCATAAGGCGCACTGAAAATCCTAAAATTTGATCAAAAACCGGCAGTGCGGCTTATAACCCGGTGCGCTTTATATATGAAAAAAGTTTGAAAATTTACCGTTAACTGATACTGCGCCTTATAATTCAGTGCGCCTTATGGTCGTGAAAATACGGTAAATCTTTTGCACTGGATTTTTATAGTGCCTGAATATATCTTTTTATATTCTTTTGATTAACAAACCTGTAAATGAAGAGGACTGAGAATGTATTGAACCTTTATTAAGCA